TTAGTGGATAAAGAAATTATGGTATGCATACACAGGGAATATTATTTAGCCATAAAAATGAATGGAATTCTGTCAGCAAATGGATGGGACTGGAGACTATTATGTTAAGTGAAATGTGCCAGAGAGAGGAAGACAAAAACTACATGTTGTCACCCTTTTGTTGAGACTGGAAAGTCGACCTTATGGGAGAATTGGGTGGAACAATGGTCACTAGGGACTGAGAAGCAGAGGCAGAAAATGTTCGATAAGGGGCAYTAAAACACAGAAGGACTTTGCTCTGGTTTTTATGGCACAGCAGGGGAAGGACTGGGTGCAACTATTTCAAAATGATGAGAAGAGCATGAAATCCCAGCACATCCTCATGATTAACGTTTGAGGAGACGGAAGTGCGTGTTACCCTGATTATTCCACGTTGTGTACGTGCATTGAGTTGCCACCCTGTACCCCATAAAGATGTACAAATATTATGACTCAAGTCAAGAAAACGTTGAYGTATCTTGGCAGAAAACAGGAGGCGCGCCAGCTCGGGCCCAGGTGTGCGCTGTCAGGCTTGTATTTGCTCTAAGCTCCATCATATCTAACTAGCATCACTCCTCTGCTCATTTCCAGCTGTCATCTCCAAAATCCAGGACCGGGAGCAAAGGCACTGTGGCCCCCCGCGGAGATCCACCACTGAGGGGGAAAACGGGGCTCTCTCCACGCACACGGGAAGGAAAGCAGATTGGAGGGAGAGAGCAGAGTGGGCAGGGTACCGGGTGAAGCAGGAGAAAMACCAGCCGAGTAGGAGCCGGTCTCCGTGCAGGAGGCCATCAGCAGCTGAAACCGCCCCTGCTGCTCTCCCGCGGGTGCCGGGCCTCCGCGGAGCCTCAGTGGGATCTCCAGCGCCGCCTACCGGGAGGCTGGAGACCAGCGCAGACCCGAGCTAGAAAAGCCGCAGARTCCAGCCTGCAGCCAGCAGGGGCGCGGGTTTCGTTTGGTGTTTTGTTTTGTGGAGGCTGGAGGGCTTGCTGCCTGTCCCAGCCAGGATCGAGGTGGGCTCTTGGCGAGTCCTTCCTGCACCAGGGATTCCAGAACTCCTGCTGGGCAGCGGTGTGTTGGACCGTCACCCCGCGGCGGCTGRGCGGGAGCCGTGGCTTTCACCTCCCCAAGCGCAGGGCCCCTTACAGGACAGCCTCTCCAAAAACTGCCAGTTGCACATGGAAAAGGAAAACCCGATTCATTAGTGACCACTAGCTGTTAACAAATTCACAGGAATCAAATGGAAAAAGGAGCCACCAAAGAAAACTGGATTTCCAGAGTGTTTGAGCTTCCTTCAGTTGGCCTGAGGACGCACACTCTGGACTGTGCGGAGGAGGGCACCTGTGCTCCACCGAGGAAGTCATTGTGTGGTTCCTCCTAGCACTACTCAAAGGAGGAAGATAGAGGTGAGCCCGACATGTGGGTGGGGAGGGGGCATCTCCCAGCTACCCGGGACGCTGCGGCTTCTCTCTCAGAGTTCAGCTGGTAGTCAGTGATGGGAATGGCTACTCCTTCCTTATTCCCTCAAAATTAATCCAGTCCCATAGCCCCAGGAGTCCTCGGCTTTGGCTGCAAAGCAGCAGCACCTGGAAACCTTTTTTTTTTTTTTTTTTTTTTTAAGATTCTGATGCATGGGCTGTGCCCCAAACCAATGAATCATTTTCTCTGAGAATGGGGCTCAGGCCTCACCATGCTTTTGAGTTTCCCACATTTTAAATGTTTCCTGGGGTTGTTCTGTCATATTAGCACAAACACGTTGGTGTAAAACAGCACAAATGTATTATGCTGTAGGTCTGCAGCCCAAAGTGAGTCTCACTGGACTAAAATCAAATTGTCGGCAGAGCTGCATCCTCGCTGGAGGCTCCAGGGAGAGCCTTTTCCCCAGAGAAGCTGAGTTTTCTTACCTTTTCCAGCTCCTGGGGGCTGACCATGTTCCTTAGCTAGGGACCGCCAAAGCCAGCAATGGCTGGTGGAGTCTTCCCCTCGCTGCTCCACTCTGATGCTTCTGCTGCCCTCCTCCATAAAGACTCCCTCAGATTGGGCCCAACCAGTAGCCCAGGATAATCTATTTTAAAGTCAGCTGATGAGCATCATCAAAGCCATCTGCTCCAGTAATTCCCCTTTGCCACAGAAGGTAACCTATTCACAGGTGGCTGGGATTAGGAAATGGACATCTTTGGGGGACATCTTACCTTGCTGACCCTAAGTGACTCCAACATGCAGCTAAGGATGAAAAGTGCTGGTCTCCGCACGGGACAACAGACTAGAGAAGTGGCCCGGCCAGCTCGGCAGAAGACGGGAAGCACACGGAAAAACCCATGTGGAGTTGGGGCAAGGAGAAGAGGCAAGAATCAGCCTTATCAACTTCACATTGCTGCGGACCTTGTTTGTGGGTGCCAACCTGATTCTGTTCCCTGACAGTGCTGGGAAGTTAACCAACACGCCCYGAGAACATGGTCCATCCCCACCTGCTGTTACCCGTTATAGGAGATGGAAGTCGTAACAAGAGACTTTTCCAGACTTTTATGACCTGTGGCTATGGGCTCCTGGTCCAAGCTCACTGGGGCCYGTGCCTGCCAGCTGCCCAGCACTCTGCAGCTCTGTAGTGGCGGTCTTCTCCGGTGGAGGATGAATTGGCTAGTACTTTACGCCCACACACACCTGGGCTTTCCAGCTCATCTGAACARTCACTGCAGGTACTTCACCCCAGCAACAAGGAACGCCTCCCCAGGACAGGCCCTCAGCTGTGGCCTTTGGATGGCGTGTGGATTCTCTGGTCTGCCTCGGGTCTCACCCTAGCATATTTTTCCCCTGGCTCACGGTCACTTTCTCACTTGCCTGGGAGGAATTTAAGTTTATAACAATCCCCTCCTGCAGTGTTCGCATGCCTCAAGTTGGGCAAAATTCTCATAAAACCCATTTACCTGGCATTGGTGCTAAGGTGAATCATTCTCTGGGGAGAAAGCTAGGGTACAGGCCAATGGCTGGCTGTGCACACGAAACCCTTTCCTCATACCGGGAGTCCCTGAAGAGTTCAATGACCTGGGGTGGGTAAACCACCTGCAGTTGGTGAACATACTGGCCGGTACTGGTAAATTTCACTTAAGTAGGAAATTAAGCTTTCGACTGTGTTAGTAGTTACTATGACAAACACCTGGGARAAAGCAGTTTATAAGGGGGAAAGGTTGGTTGGTGCCAAAGGTTTGAGTCCATGGGAGAGTKCTACAGTGAGGCAGCACTCACAGCGGGAGCACATCGTGGAGCAAGCTGCTCACCTCAGGGCAGCTGGGAAAGAGGACAGGTCGGCGGGAATGCTGGCACCCCCTTCTAGGGCACAACCCCAATGCCTCATTCCCTGAACCTCTTAAGAGTTTCCCCACCTCTTAGTTCCTACTTCTCCATAGCAACACAGAGACCAAGTTTTTTGTTGTTGTTGTTTTTTTAGCAGTACCAGGGATTGTGCCCGGGGAGCCCCAGCACTGAGCTGTCCAGCTCTTTTCATTGAGAYAAGGTCTTGCCAAGTTACCCAGGCTGGTCTCGAACTTGTGATCCTCCTGCCTCAGCCCCAGTCTCTGGGGTTACARGTGTGCACCACTGTGCCGGCTGAAACCAAGCCTTTAACACATGGTCCTTGGGGGACATTTAAAATCTGAAGTATAGCACTATCAAACTTGGAACTGCCCCTTCTTCAGCCTTCAGAAACAGACTACCAACTCTACCTTCTTTCAGTCTTTAAAAATTTTTTTAAAATCATCATCACCCGAGTGCCTCTTCCCACCCCAAAAGGTGGGAGGTGAACATGTGCACACTCCTGATTCCTTGGGCCAGCAGTGCCTCCGGAGATGCTTGAGGATTGTCTTTCCTTTTGGTGATTCCCTAACGTGGCTGTGCCTGCAGTCTCTGCCCCAGATCCACACAGCACCAGAGGGTGATCTGACCACAGAGGGCAGACCTGGGCCAGAACCCAGCCCAACCCAGCGATTAGGAAGCCATGGAGGACTTGCCGAGCTGCAGCCTTTGGGGCCCCTGAAGAGCACCAGGAATTTCTAACAGAGAAGGCCTAGCCACTCGCCCTGCACTCTCCTTATTGGYACTGTTTTGTGAGGAAAGCTAGCACTGAAACATGCTTCACCTAGAGACTGGAGTCCATCTGAAGGGCTAGAGCAGGTGGTAGGTGGTGACTACGTCTACATGATACTGCTCGTTGAAAATCAGCCCTGGAATAATTTAATTAGGAGATGAAATTCAAGCCAATATTGGAACAGTTGGTATAACAGTGTATTAAGTAAGATCCATGCTCCTGGCTCAAATGAGATTTGGTCTAGATGCAATTTKGGTTGAAATGTCCTTTATCTCAGATTAAACGAGTACCTGCAGACTACTGAGAAGAGCGCCTGGAACACGCTGACCTTTACTACTGAACTGTGTTTTTTGGCCATTAAACATCTTCACTTCCACTACAGCTCCTTACCCACGGTCTGGCATGTAGCTGTCACTCAGTAAATGCTGTGATAAACAAATACCAAATGCTGGGTCTCTGGCACACACGGTCATGGGGTCTGCTACACACACTCGGTCCAATGAGAACGGAAGAAACATGGCTTCAGCTACAAGGTCTGGATAGTCAAGGAAAGCTGTTAGTGAAGTAGCTGAGCGGATTACTCTACTGGGACAAGTGTGGTGACAGCCCCATCTACAGGGAGATGATGCTCTCCATCTGTCTCACGTCCACAGGGCTCCCACTGCTCAGAGTGCTCTGCTGTCCCACTTGAAAGCTGAGGGGGCAAAGCAAACCACCACTCCAGCAGGGATGCACTCAGATGTGACGATCATCACCACGGAGCCGGGCACACGCCCCTCAGTAATGCTCGTCACTCCCAGAGCTGGACACACACACCCCTCAGGGTGTCACACGTGCTAGGAGCTCCAAGGAGTCCTGCACAAGGACACCTTGTGGAAACAGACTGTACCTGGCGATAATTAAGAGAACAGGATGGGAAGGACTTTATTTTTCTAGATCCTCAGGAAACCTCAGCAAGCTGGAGCTGCACGAGGCTAAGTATGAAACCAAGAAAAGTGCAAGGCTTTAAAGTACGGTGCACTGTGTTTCTTCAACCTCTGGTAAGTTGGAAATCCAAGGCCATCGGGACAGAAAGCMGAAAGGACTCCTTGGCCTCAGCTGTCAGACAATCTTCACCGTCTTGAGCATATCAGATAGGACATAAGTGTCATCCCAACCCCTCCCAGGCCTCCTCAGGGTCCGCTCCAAGGCTTGAGCCATTTCCAGGAGCTCCGGTGTGGCAAGTTTCTGCCCAGGGTGCAGCTGACAGAACAGGATCTCGTTCACTTCTCCCTCGATTCGCCTGACGTACAGCACGGGGAACGCTGCCTTGAGCCCAGCCAGCACGGAGTCCTTCAGAGCCAAGTCTCTGCACACGAGGTTGAGGATAAAGACACCTGCAGGGGAAGGAAAGGATCAGAGAGGTGCAGATCCTGAGGCACGCTGGACACAAGGACCAGCTCCAAGGGGAAGGCCACGTTCTGTTCCAGAGAGGCCCACGGACTCAGCAAACACACTCAGGACAGCAGTGAACCTGCTGAAGACGCAGCACACAACGGCACAAAGAAAAGCAAGGGGCTTGTGAACCATGGGTTCTTCTGGGGGCTACACATCACCATTGGCCATGCCTCAGTTTCCCAAAGAAGGAATAAGGAAGTGATATCCCCAAGGAAAAAACTTAACCAACTCCACAGGGACATTTTGTTCTTGATCTATCCATCATATTTACTAACGAGAAGGCCAGGATTCTGACAATTAAGGTTCTAAATCAACACACTTAGCCAGAGAACCCTACTCCAAGCAGAACACCTGTGGGCTTTCAAGTGACAAGGACGTGGGCTGGTGCCCCACTGTTACTGTCACCTAAGCAAGTCTCTCAACTTCAGTTTCCTCATCTGACAGGGGGCTGCTCTGGAGATTAAATGACACAATGCCAAGTCTAGGGCATAAGAGAAGCACCTCCATGCCAGGGGGAGTACGAACGGCTACAACCGCAGGCAGGTAAGACTCGTGGCAGCACATCTGCAGTCGTCTGGTCTTGAAAAGAGGGCAGACATTGGAGAAAAGACAGCCTCTTAACAAATGGTGCTGGGACAACTGGTTATCCACATATAGAAGAATGCAACCAGATACTTATCTCTAATTCTGCACAAAAATCAATTCAAAAATGGATCAAGACTTCAGAATTAGATTAGAAACTATGCAACTACAGGGTCAACACTCCAGCTTTTAGGTAAAGACAATAACTTTCTGAATGGGGTCACCTAGAGGAAATAATGCCAAGAGTTAATAAATGGGACAGCACCAATTAAAAAGCTTCTGCACAGCAAAGGAAACAATTAGGAATTGAAGAGAGGACCTACAGAATGGGAGAAAATCTTTGCTACTCTTCTGAGAATTAATATCCAAAATAAATCAAGAACTCAGCACTAAAAAAATCAAATAGCCCAATTAATAAATGGGCAAACAGACACTTCCCAAAAGAAGAAATATAAGTGGCAAAAAAATATTTAAAATGTCCAATATCATTACCAATTAGGGAAATGCAAATCAAAAAGACACTGAAATTTCATCTCACCGCAGTCAGAATGGCAGTCATCAAGAATACAAATAACTAGTTAGAACAAATGAAAATATATATTAAAAAATACAAATAATAATAAATGCTGGGGAGATGTGGAGAAAAAACACTTTTATACTGTTCATGGTATCCTAAGTTAGTACAACCACTATGGAAATCAGTATGAGGTTTCTCAAAAGACTAGGCATGGAACCACCATATGATCCAGCTATACCACTTCTCAATATTACCCTGAAGAATTAAAGTCATCTTACTACAGCGATGCATGCATAGCCATGTTTACAGCAGCACCATTCACAGAGGAACCAGTCTAGGTACCCATCAGCAGATGAATGCATGAAGAAAAYRTGGTGTACATACCCAATGGAGTTTTATTTGGCCATTAAAAAAAGACTGAAATGATCGTCATTTGCAGGAAAATAGATGGAACTTTGAGAACCTTATGTTAAGTGAAATAAGCCAAATTCAGAAGGTGAGGGTTATATGCTTTCTCTCATGTGTAGAAGGTTGAGAGGAAAAAGGAAAGAAACATGGGGATGGGCTGGGGGGAATCTCAGTCAAAGGGAGATCAGCAGAGGAAAGGGACCCGGGAGGGGGGAGGAGAAGGAGGGGGAGTGCTAGGGAGTGACACTGGCCAAATTATATTGTTATACTGTGGGCATGTATGAACATGTARCAACAAATCCCATCAATACACACAACTAAAATGCACCAATAAAAATGTGGAAAAACAAAACAAAACAGAATGTGTGGAGGGGCGGCTGCAGCTCTGTGTACCCAAGAGGCTTACAAATGAGTCCATCAAGCAGCACATACTGGAACGTTAATGGCAGCACTATTTGAAAGACTCCCAAAACAGGAGCCCCCCAAACCAGCAGTGGTCATGGAGAAATGAACTGAGGCATAGTCACACGATACAAAGGGGAATAAAAACGGGCAGTGTAGACACAACACTGTGGCTGAATATCAGAAAGATGTGTTGAGAAGGAAAGCAGAGATTATRACCTGATTACAACTACACACCAAACAAAAACTGGCAGAACAAGCTGAGGGGACAGTCAGTACACTGGTTACCTTTAGAGAATGGACAAATTACTGAAAGCAGGTAACAGGTGGATTTCCAAGGTGCTAGAAATGTGTTTAGTGCTGGTAACTGGACTATTCAATTCAGGGAAACTGATCAAACTACACACTTAGGTGCAATAATTCATTCTCCTACCTTCATGAGTCAGGATGCTTTTGACCTTCTGCAGAAAGGGTTGGTCCACAAATGCTGGGGGTGGACAACTCATGCCCAGTGTTGGGTCCTTACTGTCTACATCAAACATGATGACGTCGTAGAGAGGCCGTGCTGAGAAAGAAAAGCAAGTGAACCCTTGGCTTTGCTGGAAAAAGCATCACGTAGTCCCTGCACCACGCCTGCAATGCTTCTGATGTGCTTCTAGAAGTATAGTRAGAGCGGTGGCTAAGTGGGTCTGCCTGCCGAGGGCACTGACGCCACCATCTTGTCAGCAGATGTCTGTGCCGAGGGTATAGACCCCACAGTGCAGATGAGCCCTTCCACACGTCTGAAAGTGCCTTCCAAAGGAACACCCAGAGCAGGCCTGCTCCAGGATGAAGACTACTAGGTTAGACGCACACCCTGGGAAGCGTCTTGATAATTAGGAGAACGTGGGCTTCGCTGCAGGCCAGCTGGGTCTAAACCCTGCGAGGCAGGAAGCCTCTCCTTTCCCACCAGCCTCCCAGGTAATCCTGACAGCAGTCAGAGCCGAGAAGCACTGACCGAGACAAAGCGGCTAAGCAGGCTGTGAGGGCTAACCAGCAAACTACAGCTGACAAACTCTGGAAACAGCACGAGTGTCCTGGCAGGAGAACAAGTCTCCGAAATTTGAGTTTATCTTTCTGAACATGAGCTGGCTCAAGAAAGAGATGACCTGACTAAATGGGGGAGGAAGAACTGGCAATGAACGGTCTGCTGCCTCCCACTGTGCTAAGTAGTTTTTACATGGGGAAGGCCTGCAATGTTTCTGATGTGCTTCTAGCAAATTCTAAGACTRCACTAACAGTCTTGCAGTAATGAGCAACTATTTGCTTAGGACCACTGTGTGCCTATCCCTACTCACAACACAGACTGATTTTGTTTTGTTGCCTTTTGTTTGTGCTAGACACTGATTCCAGGGCCTCATGCGTGCTAGGCAAGCACTCTGCCACTGAGCTAGCTGTACCACCACTCCTGATTTTGGTTTCTTTCCAAGAACATCCTGGCTTAGCAACATCTAAGGAAAAGGATGCCACCTCAAGCCCCCCAATAATTTGAAAGGTTGTGGGTAACTAAAGGAAACAAYTAAAGGACTGTTCCAAACTGATTCGTAGATATCAGAGGCACCATCACCACGTGCCTGGCACCATGGTAAATGCTTCACTGTTGGCYATCCTGGGCTGGCCCACAAACTGACCTTGCAAGGGAACCCATAAAACTGTTARGATTAGGTTCAGTCTGCAACTAAAATCAGTGATGTCACTTGTACATCCTAGTCCCCAAATACTCCCTCCAGGATTCTACACCCTTCCCGGAAGACATTCCAATCCAGTAAGAACCAGAGTTCTGCCACTGAACAAGCAGACCAGGGAAAGGCAGCCTGAGCTCCCAGAGACGGGGAGCTACTGTCTCCAGTATCCTGCATAAAATTAGTATGACCTTCATCCTAAGCTTAGGGTGCAAATCACTGGAGCAAAATGGAATCTTAATCACGGCAGCAGGAGAACAWGAAAATTCCCGCTAACCGACACCTGGATCAGTTTCCGAGCCTCCGCACTATGGACAGTTTGACCATGACAATTCATCATCAGTGGCTGTCGTATGCAAAGTGGGATGTTTAGCAGCATCTTTGGCTCCTACCCATGAGGTGCCAGTAGCACCAACAGCCCCCCAATTTGTGACAACCAAGAAGTCATTGCCAAATGTCCCCTGGATCTGACCTACATTAGTACTCTTTGTCTTTCTTTCTGATTCTGCCTCCTCCTGAAGGATTATATGAACACCTCCAAAACACACCTTATCTTTTCTTCCCTCTTTCTTCAACCAGCTTCCTTGGACTGGTGAAGAAGTGGCAAGGTCACAGGGTCAGAAGAGAGGCCAACTGGTCTGTTAACGCCCTAAAAACAGAAATGGTCCATCTGTCTTGCTGCTGAACCCAACGCCTAACACCATGTGAGGACATAGCTGGCACTTCATAGTCATGGAACAGATGTAACAAAAAAGCTGGAGCGAGGCTGTCGCCACCTGGCAGAGATGAACCCCCGAGGCCACATTCCCCACCCCCTCCACAGCTCCCCAGCAGCACCTTCTCCTCCCGCCAGGCTGGTGATGTAGTCCAGGCCATCGGCGATGTGCACCTTCATCCGTTCACTCTGGGCAAAGCCAAACCATCGGGTGGCCACTTCCAACATGGAGGGGTCAATCTCCACAGCGTCAACACAAGATTTCGGGAAGTGATCATGAACAAACAGGGGGAGGCTGCCCCCACCCAGGCCTACCACCAGTAGCGCCAGTGGAGTCTCTGTAATCAAAGAAGAGAGCATCACTTTGCCATCTGCTCACTGCCAAGTTCTGAACCAGCTTGGGGGAGACAAGAGGAAGTCACACTGTTGGCTCTGCCTAGGGCTACAAGATTCAAAGACCTGGCCCCCCGTCTCATCCCAGGGATTCAGGAGCCAACTGACATTCAAAAAGTCACCTTTAATTTTACTGACCTAGATCCAGAAGAACCAGTATGATGCTATAGTCCCTTAAAGATCCCTAAGTGCTAAGCTGACACTGTATCACAAGTCCCATCAGAGGACAACCCTGAGTCCCATGAAATGGAGGGATAATGGCCAATCTTGCTCACAATCATAAGGCAGCACAGGCACCATGCCCCTCACCTGGCTCTTGACTCAAAAAGGCCATTATAAGCCAGGTGCAGTACACCTGTAATCCCAGCAGCTTAGGATGRATCATGAGCTCAAAGCCAGCCTCAGCAATGGTGAGGCATTAAGCAACTCAAGGAGACCCTGTCTCTAAATAAAATACAAATTACGGCTGGGGAAGTGGTTCAATGGTCGAATGCAATTGGATTGAATTCGAGTTCAATCCCCAATACCAAAAAAAAAAAAAAAAAAGAGGCCATTATAACTGCCTTCTCAGACATCCTAACCAAGCAAGGATAACCCATTCCAGTTCCCAGGCAATCAAAGGCCCAAATTCTGACCCTAAGGAAAGAAACCACAGGGGGGAGGAGGAAAGACAAGAAACGAAAGAATCGCTAAAAGGAGACAGACCCTGGGATTGATTCTAAGAACTACAATCTTAGGGACACACGTTAACACCAAGAAGAGCCAAAAGCACAGGCACACTTGGGGTCTGGGGTAAGACGGTCACACAGGTAGAAAGAAACAGGAACATGTTTGCTAAGGTGGCCAGATCCCAACCTGCTATTAGTGATAAGGCCATCACTGCACTGAGAAGCCACACATTATCCAAGGGCATCGAAGATGTGATTTTTCAATGTCTATCTAGTTACATGGGTATATACACATGGAAATGTCTAAGCTGAATAACTTAAAATCTGTGTACATACCTCATTGAACATATTTCACTAATTTTAAAAAGAAATAAACAGAATAAAACAAAATGTAGACCACAATGCACGTAGCCACTGACACAGTACAGGCGGAGTCTGAGGCAGAGCTAGCTGGATGCTCATTAACTCAGAAGATGGAAGGGAAGAAGAAGGACATGAGCACGCATGCACTTGTCTGTCATCATGTCCTGAGCAACAAGGCAGCTCACTGGCTTGTGTGATCTCACATGCTGTCTCCTGTGGCAAGCAGTACCACCGCTCACCTAGGAGCAGCTCTGGGTTTCTCAGCAGGGCAAGGCCGGCGATCATGGCTTTATGGTGTTCACAACAGAGGTAACTCTTGTCAACGGACTGCCCCGGGGCTGGAGGGAGGTCCTCAGGAGTATCAGCAGGCCGCTGCTTCTTCTTGTCCTTTTTCCTTTTCTTCTGGGCTAAGTGAGAGATKTGGATTAATGAAGTTCTAAGCTTCTTCCACTAGTCCTTGGAAAGCAAGGGATCCCGGCAGCAGTATGCAGCAGCTGGCTTGAACAGACCGGACAGCCAATTGCCAAATATGCAAGAACTGTGCAAACTGGCTGATTCCATACAGATAGTCTGAAATTGGCCATGGACAGAGCATTTAAATCACAGAAATTGGAGAACTACAAATCAGGCATCCCTCCTCCCACTGAAAGATGGTTATTTTAACATTCAACACACACCACTAGACCCCAATGACCAAATGAGAGGCAGAAGCCCAAAAAACATGTGCACTTGACCAAGGCACACCCTAAAGAAAAGCCATTCTTCTGTCCATGGCCTCAAGACCRTGCGTTCACTCCACCCTCTTCCAGATGGCTCTGCTGCCAGGACAGCATGTCATGCAAAGGGAGTGGCTGAGGACCCTCGCCTGAACATCTGGGACTCAAAGAGAAGCTGTCCCAGAGCGGGGAGGACAGGAGCATTCACCTTCTACTATATACATTTGATTTCTAAGTTGTTCACGATAATACCAATATGCACACCCAGAGAAGAAAACAGGCAAACAAACTATCATGACCTCCTCATCAGGGAGTGCATCTGCCGGTATCTGGGAGCCCACTCAGGCAGTGGAAGAAGTCCAGATCATTCTGCCCAGCACTGTAGCCACGCTATTTATGGTAGCTTTAATTTAAATGCAAATTAATTAAAATTAAATTTGAGTGCCTCAGTCACACCAGCCACACTGCATGCTCAGCAGCCATTTACCRCTAGTGGCCACCATCCTGGAAGCTTAGTGGTAAGAACCATTTCCTTCATCACATACTGTTCTTCTGAACAGCACTGGACTAGATGGCTTCTAAGGCACCAGTCAACTCTAAAACCCTCTGGAGCACGTTTAAGGGTCACACTATAGAGGAAGGCTCACCTGCAACCTCCACAGTTCTGGCTAACCTCAAGGAGGTCTACTGAGATAACATACGGACATGTATGCAGCCACTTGCAAAACAGATGTCCTTTAAACTAAGGCACTAAAGCAATTCTCACGTTTATTTTTCTCACCACCCCTGCTCATCACTTCAGAACCAGGCTTTGCTCAAGAACAAAATAAATACCTCTATTCTACTTATCCCTACCAGCACCTTATAAGCCAAGAGGCAGGAAAGGACAGCCCACAGGGCCATGTGCCTCTGATCACAGGCACCCAGGCTGTCCTACACCTCATCAAGCTCCCAGGTCCTCCGGACCACCCCAAAGTGAGAATCCATGCCATGCCCCCGGGGTCCCTCCCACCACCGTGCCCACAATGCCTCACCTCGGTGAGACACATCCTTCAGCAACCTGGCTTCCGACTGCACCACATTCCTGTTGCTGAGGAAGATCAGTCGCCGAAAGTACCGCCTGTCATCCCCTTGCACATCCTCGATGACATAGTCACCACTCAAGGGGCTGCAGTCCTGGTGCTGAACAGTCCGGACCCCGATGTCCCCACCTACAGACAGGAAGGGCACCTGAAGGTACAGCCAGAGATGTGGTCAAAACACGAGACGTGAGAATCCCTCCCATGTGTGAATGTAAGGAATCCACAGATCAAGATTCTGGCCAGCAACAACTCCCAAGATGTGCCACTCAGTTAAGGTACTTTGGGGAGCCTTTCACAGACYTCAAAAGATCTAATTCACCTTTCAAAAATCATCTGAACATATAAAATCTCCTAAACCACTAGTGAGAAGCAGTTGGTTTTTTCAAAGAAAAATATAAGAATTTCTCATCTAACCTAAAAGAACCCTCCATAGTCCAGGATAATGGAAGCTACCAGAAACCCTTAGGAAGGAGCTGTAGTTATTTTTTTTTTTTTTTTTTAATGCAGGCTGGAGATTGAACCCAGGACTTCACACATGCTCGTCATGTGCTTTACAACTGAGCTACATCCCAAGCTGCAGAAAGAAGCTTTAATTCTAAAGAGGAATCTAGACAAGGATAAAGACAATGAAATCCAAGRGGAAACAACCATTCTAAATTTGAGGATCTTTCTCCCTTCTCCAAGTTATTCCCATATTTCGTCTCCACTTTTCTAAACCTTAAGAGAAAAATACATTTTCTCCCAACCTAGACCTGGCTCCCACTACTTTTCATCTATTCTTTTTTAAAAACCTGTCAGAGTGTTTAATCATCATAGGAATTCYTGACCTCTCAGACTGCAGCACTGATGACACAAGGTCACAGGTGAAACTCCCAGAGGATCTGGGCCTTCCTGAAATAAGTCTGATGGAAAGCAGCCCAAGTTGGCCAGTGGCAGGACCACAGGATGGATCCCACCCAGGACCTGGGATTTGTTTTTCTTTTTTAGATCTGTTACCGTTGCACCAGGCATCCAAGTACCACAGCTTTCCCACCTATCAAGAAGGAAAAAGTTCTCATAATAAAGTCACCCATCAATTTCTGATGGTGACCAGGATGGCACAAGTCAGAAGGTGTCATCTTACAGATAATAGTTTCCTTCCCAGCAAAACACCAAAGCAGCAGTGCTCATATCCTGAAAACTAGACTAAGCTGTTCTGGCCCTTTCCTTCTTACACCCTCAGATAATGATGTAATGAGAAGCCAAATGGCCAAGGTAGTTCTTTTCAGAAGTGGGAACAGAGAAACATGTGGTCAGAGCAATCTGCTCTAACGCTGGAGCCTGCAAAGACAAGAGCATTCCCTTCAGGCCTCTCTGTGAAGTGCGGCCCCTATAAGGCTACTGAGGCTCTCAGTCAGGGCAACTGCTCACCCTCCCCTCTGCCTGGGGCAAGGGAGAGTGTTTTTCTGCCCGTTTAACTCTTAAGATCAGAAATGGGGTCACAGACTCTGGTCCTAGCTCCTTCCAAGGCTCCCTCTGCCTTCTTGGCTGCTAATCTGACTAGGGACCAGTGAAAGCCACTGCCAAAGCTTTGGTACCTGCTGCTGGGGGGGCATCCCGGCCGGAGCCAGCTCCATGACTCTGGGGGACAGCTCAGCCTGAACACTGTCCATGCCGTCGTACTGCTGACCTCGATGAAGAGCCACTGTGACCAGCCTCCTGAAGCCTGCGCTGGCTGCCAGCTGCTTCCGGCCCTCCTCCATGCCAAAGAGCCACTCAGTCTCACGGCCCTGGGGGACTAGAAAAGAAGGACTTAGTTAGAGGGCATCCTGGGAAGACTATTTCAACCCCCACAACCAACATGGCCCACATGGCAGAGCGCCAGTCCCTGCCCAAAACAGCACCCTTCCTATGACCCACTGAGGCACAGTCAATTCCCTGGTGCCCAACACCAGGGCAAAGCCCATCAGTCAGGAAGCAAGACCAAGGGTGGCTAAGAGTTGGGCATGTCTGTAAGGGAAGGGAGGCAGGCACCTAGCGCAAGACAACAGCAGTAACACCAACGCTTACCGCAGGCCATGYCAAGCAGTTACAAACACACACTAATGAGTCCTCTCAACGGCCCTAGGTGCAGGTAGCACTATTATTCTCATTTTTGCAAATGAGGAAATCRAGGCACAAAAGTGACATCATTTGCTCAGGTTCACATGGCCAGTAAATGACAAAACTAGGAGACTCAGAACCAGGCAGTCTAGCCCCAGCCTCCACACTCATATCCACTGGACAACTCACTCCCACAGGTGGACAGTGAGGGTTATGGAAAGCTTGGAAAAATGGCTCAGTAGTAAGGAAACCATCCAGCAGGGCCATAAAGCCTTGTTTGTGTAGATTTTTTTACTTTCTGAAAGCACTTCCTTATTCCATTTCTTGAGTCTTATTAAATGTGGGATCCACCACTCCTCTCAGTGCTAACAGATACCATTGATAATGTAGTTATCACATGCCAGGTACCATTTCTAAAGAGTTTTTACACTTCTCACAACTACACCAGAGTTACAATCTCATTTTACAGATGAGGAAACTGAAGCACAAAAAGAAAGGTAACTTGTTCAATGTCACACCACCAGGAAATGACTAAGCCACAACTAGAAGCCAAAGAGCATGGTTCCAGGGCTGACCTTGCACTGCCTCCTGGATTCTGCAGAGAGGCACAGTGACCTTCCCAGGTCCAATAGTCCACACCCATAAAGCTGGGCCTGAAACCTATGGCTGGGGTCATCAGGCCAGTGGTGCTTCCATTAGTCCACACTCCGGTAACCTATCTAAATTCACCTCCACTTTCTCTGCTCCTGCTGAAACGATAAGCCTCACATTGAAGCAGTTGATAGAGAGCGCTCTCTCCTCCTTTATCATGCCTCCACTACCCTAACCCTCGAAAACATCACSCTCTATAGATAAAAAGGGCCAAGACACACACACCCATCCACCAAAGCCCCAGCCCCAGCCCCTGTGAGCCAGCCCTCCAGAAGAAGAGAGGGAGCAATCCCAACTCACTGATGAAAATGGCAAAATGATTGTCCCGCGATGGTTTCACAGCGGGGCTGTCCACCACGTGCAGGGTGTAGCGTGGCTCCCCCGTGTCCCCACTGCACAAGTCCAGGGACACACTCCCCAGCCCGGCCATGCGGCGCAGCTGGCTGCACAGCCAGGYATACTGCTGCCGCTCCCGCACCGCCTCGACCAGCCGCTCAGCACTTTCCAGCCGCACAGGCTTGCCCTGCTCCTGAGCACACAGCTCAAAGATCTGAAGGGCAGAGCCAGGGACTGGCCTGAACTTGGTCATGACGAAGGCAAAGACAGGCAGGGAGAACCGAGACTCTGCTTCCAACACCTGGTCCTGGCTGCTGGCCACTTGGTGCACCCTCACCATCCACCCCTCCCGAGAGAAGTGACCCACTGCTTTCTTCAGGATGTGAGCCTGAGCCAGGGAGATGCAGAGGTAGCGACCGCCCACCTGCAGGACCCGGCCAACCTCAGCCAGCATCCTGTCCACCTGCTGCAGAGTCTTCTCCTCCTCATCTGTCAGAACAGCATCCAGGGTGCCCTTGTCCAACACCACCTGAAACGAGGCATCAGGAAATTCCATCTGGGTCATGTCCATCTTCAGGAAGCTCATCTGGGGCCGCCGGCTGGCATTGCGTTCCTTCATTTGCTTGATGACTGCCTCGCTGATGTCGATGTTCACTATATCCTGATAGCCCACGTCATACAGCTGCTCACTTAACTCTGAGTTGCCACACCCAATCACCAGCACCTGGGGGGAAATCATGATGGAGGTGATTAAGGCAAAGGAATGTGCTTCGGGTACCTCAAGGAAGCAAGTCTTGCCCTGGCTGTTTTCTTATTTTCAGAAGACAGAAATGCTCTTGTCAGGAGGAAGCAACAGTGTATAAATTTTCTCCATCCACTCATGCCTTTGGCTTCACCAAACAATAAACTATAGTTTGTGCAGATTCAAATCTTTCTCCCATCAGCGATTCCACCTCATGATACTTGGCTATTTGTCTGCAGCCAAACTTAAATACAGATCATTGCTTCCCTCTCTGTGGATCAATTTCTCATTTATCCTTCAAATTCTGCTCCAATGTCATCATCTCTGGCAAAGACCAGTTCAATGAGAAATGCACAAGCTTTGGAGTCAGACAGACTTGGTTCAAACCTCCTTGTGACCACTTAGCACATACATGATCTCTGACATCCTAGTCCATAAAACAAGTGCATGACCATTCATGAGATCTAAAAGACTGCACATGGAGGGACACAGCACCTGCATAAGACTCAGCATGTAAAGCTTCCTCCACAAATTTAAGTCTTCTTCCCTACCTCCAATACAACTCCATCTCTACCAAACCGCCTATTACTGTGCCTATCACTTTTCACTGCTGGAATGTGTGCAAGGTTTGTGTCCTAAAGGTCTTGTAGTTTAAGGGCTGAGCACAGCGCCTGGAACTCAGTGAGCACTGGACAACTACTATAAGCAGACATCAGTGAAGCCACACGTGTTGCCTATTCCACAGGGACGCAGAGACAGCGGGGCACACTCAGTGTCTGACTACTAAAAGACACTATTCCAATARGGATTGTTAATTAAAGGATGCGCTGGGATGGGAGGCCTTTTCAACGAAAACCTTTCAGAGACTATTTGTAAAGTTATCTGTTAGCTARAATGATGCACGGAATCCTGAAAGTGTGGTCCCAGCAGGGTCCTCACGCCTGTCCGCCCAGAGCAGGACCGCTGTCATCAGCTCCCTCCTTTCCGAGTGCACACACAGGGCTGCAGGCCGCGCTCCTTACCCTTTCCCTGGGCTTGATGTATTTGTGTAGCACCCCGCACAGTTCCAGGTAGGTTCCATACCACTCGAACGCTTTCTTTCCCCGCTGCTGGAAGAACTTCTCCCAATAGTCCACAGAGCCAAACTCCTTGGAGCTCTTAGGCAAGAGATTCATGTTCCCACTGCCCGAGCGGCGTCCGGAAGGCCACTTACTCCCTGCGAGGTACCATCTGAGGGGCTCCCCTCCAGGCCGGCCCGGGACTCGGCAGTGGCAGCTCTCTCCACCGACTAACCGCCCCACGGACTTGTTTCCCCGACTCCAAACCCAAAGGGATGACGCCTACTCGGCCAAGCACGCCCGAGACGCCGAGCTGAACACGCGCCACCCCTCCGGGCGCCCTCCGCGCCGCCCACGTGGGGAGCCCCTCACACTCGCTCCCAGCAGCGCTCCGAACCCGGCAACCACTTCCGAGTGCGAGGCCTCATGATTGGCCGGCCTCCCGGAACTACCCGGCAACTCATGGGTCACGGCTTTTCATCTCTGACGCCCCATTGGCTGAGGCGCGGGCGCCCTTCGCTCCCTGGGAACGAGGCCGAGGGGGCGGGACCGCGGGCCGAGCCGGGGCGGAAGGGCGGCTGCCGCAGCCAATCGCGTCCGGAACCTGTGCCGCCGCTGCAGCCCGACCGTGTCCTTCTTACTGGCGTCTTTGCGCGCTCCGAGCGCTGCAGGAGCACCCCGGAGAGAAGCCCCGTGTCCCGAGGCGCGGATGAGGACGGCACGGGCTGACCCGGTCCTCTCTCTGCGCTCCCCGCCGCACTTGCACGATTCCGGTCTCCTTTGCAGCGAAAAGGCCGTGCTTTTTCTGCGCCGGAATCCGGGGCTCCGCTACCAAGGCGTAATACGCGAACCTCCCAGAGGAGAGAATAACAGCTAGGTGTTCACAGGGGCCTCCGTGCTCACCCCAAAGCCAGGACGCCAGACTCGGCCTCCTGTGGTTGTCCATCAGACAACTCTGTCTCTGGGCATTTGATGGACATGTTGCTCTTTTACACGTTTTTATGCTAATAGTGTGAGGAAGTTCGTTGTTCACCAAGGAGGCTATTTTTAAAAGGTTAAATACGTGTGTCATGGAGTCTTTCACCGCAAAATACACTGCAGGAGGGACATACAGATGGAGGAGGGCAGGCGGTTCTTGGGGACTGGACAAACCCGCAGAGCGCGCACAGACCTTCTGAGTCGTCCTCAAGGTTAGGTGTGCATCCGAATCTCCTGGGGGACCTCCTTAAAAACGGATCGCTGGGTCAGAAATGAGATCCAAGTGTTTGGGTTTCTAATAAGTTGCCAAGTGGTGATGATGACGTCCTCCAGGGGCCACCCTTTGAGAAGCCCTGTTTTAAAGTACCGTTAAGGAGGAGTCAAAATGGAGATGGTTCTAGCTTCACGGTTTTAAAAGGCTAACCTAAAAGCCCTCCACAAGTAGCATCAAAGAAARTCTGTTTGGTGCTCCCCTCACCGAGTTCACATTGTTTCCTCTCCACCCAGGTAGCACTGGAAGGAGACTTTGAGGTGACTTCAGCTACTACATTGTGCACGGTTCCTAAAGATGATGATTCAGGTCCTGTCACCACAGTGCTGAGACCATCCCTGTGCTTGAAGGGCTACATAATACCCAAGACCGTGGCTTTATTCAATTCCCCAGTGCTTCATTCAATTCAACAAATATTTTAAGTGTCTGATGTGGCTGTGGTTGGAAGCTAAGGGTGTGGATGCAGTGGCAAGCAAGGCAGGTACAACGAAGACACGTTAAACGTTCACAAAGATATCTGTAATGTGTTCACARGCATCAAGGAGAACTGTAAGATTCCATGATAGCAGATACCTTTGATATCTCTCCTGATCTAGGGGATGGTCCGAGGAAGGGAGAAAAAGACTCTGTAGTCTGCTTTGGTGAAACCTGAACACCTGAACTTGCTCTAATAAAACTAGCATGACACATTTGAGAACCAAAAGTCAGCTCGCCTCTGGTGACCTCATGAGARCTTTGAGTTTTCCTTTTGTCTTCATTGTCCTAACAGTTAAGGGCATGATGTTGGAAAGAACACTAGCCATGTACCACYGAGTGACTCTATCACACCACAGGCTTCAGCCCCTGATGTAACACCCTAAAACTATAATTTCTGTTCGCAGTAGGTTTCACATCAAGAAAGTAGCTTACTTTTCTCCATCAGTGCCTACCTTCCTTCTTTGAGCTTAAGAAAATAGAAAACAGACCCCTTTACCTGCTAGAGGTTTTCTAAAATTGTACAAATATTTTAGAGGGAGGTACTGGGGAACAAAATTGACCAAATTTTATTGTTCTRTTGTGTGCATGTACAAATGCGTAACAATCCCACTATAATATATAGTTGTAATGCACCAAAAATAAATAGKTAAATAATTATTTTATTATTCACATTAGGTTCTGGCACTAGTCTTTTCAAATACTTATTTGAAACATTTCTTTCAAAGATTGTGAAATATGATTGATAGTATGTATTATCATTAGTAGAGTTAGCATAAGCCAATTGGATGTTAAAATGCTTTGTTTTATTAGGATCCCCAGAGCCATTACCTATATGATTTAAAATACAGACTGAGTTTAGATAAAGCCATGCAGCACTGTAGAGTTTGTTTCTAAAAATATAAATTCAAACCCCTGCATATGTAATTTTTAGGTCAATCTTCTTAATTAAAATATAAACATAAGGATTTGGTAACAATGTTCAGTTGTGCTAAGATTAACTGTGAAATACAGAATGGGAAATTAAAAGCATTAAAAAGCATTGCTCACCATCTTGGGGGCAAAGGAAAGGAGAGAACATGTGATAGGTGGAATATTCTCCAAATCCTAATCCCCAGAACCTGTGAATAGGTTACATGGCAAAAGGAAATTCAGGTTACACATGCAATTAAGGTTGCTAATCAGACGACATGAAAATAGGGAAGCAGCCTAGATATTCCAGGTGAGCCCAGTATAATCACAAGGGTCCTTTAAAGTGGAAGAAGGACAATCAGAGAGAGATAGCATGCGAAGGACTTGGCCTGGCATTGCTGGCTTTGAGAAGGGAGGAAGGAGCCCATGAATCAAGGAAAGCAGACAGCCTCTGGAACCTGGATAAGGAAAGGAAACTGATTCTCCTGTAGAGCCTCARAAGGAGACCCTTGTCGGACTCGTGGCCTCCAGAACTGTTAGGTATTAAATTCACATTGTTTGGGACACACAGTTTTTGGTAATTCAYTACAAAAGTAATAGAAAATTAATACAGAACATAAGAGGGGAAAACAACATGTATGAAGAGGTTTTCAGGGAAGAAGTTTATAGTGGGAGAAAAGCAGTTTCTTTTTCATTGGTCTTTATTTTTTTAGTTATACGTGACAGTAGAATCCATTTTGACATGATTTATAAAAGCATGGAATAAATCTTGTTCTAATKCAGACTCCATTACCTCTCCTTCCCCTTCTCTTCCCTCTGTTGATCTTCCTGCCATTTATCCATACTTTATTTTTTAAAATTAATTTCCTGTGGATATACACARTGGTGAGACTGGTATATGTATATATGTACATATATTCATGTATATACATAGGAAAGTTATTCAGATTCTTTCCACTGTCTTTCCTTTTCTTATCCCCCTCCCTTCCCTTCTTTCCCCTTTGTCTACTCCACTGAATTTCTCCCCTTATTATGGGTTAGCTTCCACATATCAGAGAAAACATTTGTCCTTTGGGTTTGGGGGATTCATTTATTGCACTTAGCATGATAGTCTCCAGATCTATCCCTTTACTGGCAAATGTCATAAAGTCATTCTTTTTGGCTGAGTAATATTCCATTGTGTATATCTATCCATTTTCTTTATCCATTCATCTGTTAAAGGGCACCTAGTTTGGTTCCACAGCTTAGCTATTGTGAATTGTGTTGCTATAAACATTGATGTGGCTGCATCAATGTAGTATGCTGATTTTAAATCCTTTGGATATATACTGAGGAGTGGGATAACTGGGTCAAAATGTGGTTCCTACAATTTTCTGAAGAAACTTCCTAGTGGGAAAGCAGAGTTAGAAACTGAGTTAAAGGGAAGGTCTTGAAAGGTCTTCGATTCCAGGCATTTAGCTTACGCCTGTCAGGCCAGCATAAGCCAAGAGTTCCAGGGTCATGATAGCTGGGAAGAAATTATCCAAGAGAGGTTCTTGGGGAGGACTGATGTGCTTGGTGACTGATTAAATATAAGGAACAAAAGACTGAGAGACTCAAAATGGTTCCCACATTGGCCTCTAGATGACTTGGGAAGTCATCTGTAGAAAGAACCAGCATCCTCTGTAGAACTATTGCTTGAAAGGAATGTAGAGGTCACAATGCCAGTGAAACCCCGAGCCAGAGCTAGCAGCCAGTCTCCCCCCTGCACGCTCATCCTGGGTCATGCCCTTGTCGCATTCTGCAGTGGCGTCCAGTTGAAATTATGGTCCAAGACCAGAAAATGCTTCATGAGTGGGGTTTAAATTGGGTACAGGAAAGCTCTCCTTGGAGTACAGGGAGTGGCTCATATAATACTGGAAACTATTTCATCCTGGCAATCTTGGCAAATAGGTTTGTTTTCCACATTTGGGAAGTTAAGAAAGGAAAGGTCTCCTGTGTCTTGGAATAACAGAAGGCGGGCATAACAACCTGGGGTAATATTATACCCTTTTATTAGCTGGGTGTCAACACTTTTCTTGAGATATTGCTGAACTAAGAAGTCATCCTCAAGCTTATATTGGATTACTAATATTGGAATAACATAAGAATATTTTAGTCTGTATATAGCATTTGTGATTTGATAAGAATGTTTCTCATACATTGAGTTCATGGGAAGGAGATTCAGAGCTGTCGTGTGAATTTTGACATTGGCAGATATGACCCCTTTTACTGGAAGAATATAACAGTCTTATAAAAGACTAGTGAAGTTAGCATCATCCTAGGAGATGACCACACACTGGTTTCTTAAATGTGTGTGTGTGTGTGTCTCTGCATATATATATGTGTGTGTGTGTGTGTATGATTTTCATATGCACACAAGCACACTCATAGTTGAGGCAAATCTCAAGGTGATTGAAAGTTATTGATGACTGATTGAGTGAATTCAGCCACAACCACCTCTGGCATTGTATTTGATCCCCAGGATTCTCCTGATCACTGGTGACGTCTGAAGGTGCCCTGGTTTCCATGTGTGTAGACTGCAGACATTTGTATCCACTGTGCGGAGGAAGTAAAGAGCATATCATACAGGGCAAGTTGTTCACCTTTGGGGCCAGAGGGCAACAACACTTTGAAACTGGAAAGCCATAGGAGATGAGGGAATGACACCAAGGTCGATGGCCTGGGCCTGGGGCATGGGACCCTCCATGAAGGGCCTCAGAAGACCTCCTTTTGGATCC